GACAATGAACCACATGCGCTCCCATCCTCCACCTGCTTTAAAAACCCTCAACTGTCAATCCGGCCCGCTGGCTTGCGTGTTCGTTTAGTCACCTGCTGCTCGATTCAGACGGAAGGCCCATACCGATTTCTTGAGAAGAGTTCCGAATGGCAGAGAATTCGGCTTATTCATACTGATTTCCATCGTTCAGTAATCCCCCGCACGACATCGTGACAGGAATTACCGATGATATCGGTGGCTTTTCGTTAAATTCCAGGGTAATGTTGGTTGGGGGTAAGGTCAAGAGTAAGGTTCAGTCAAAGCTAGGGTTGATGGTAGGGTATGCTTTAACATTAGGGTTAAGTTGAATGTTAGATTGCGGTTATATGCAGGTTAATTATTAGGATTAGGACACGTACATTGCTATTATTTCTGGAATACAGTTCAAGGCCACCTGTATAGCATGGGGAGGTTTCTATACACCTGGCCTGTCGGGTGGGCGGAGACATGAAACAATTCCGACCATCCTCTCTTCAAATAAGCAAGTTATAAACTCTTATTATTGGCGTAAATCCACGGTATTATATTTTAGTCCTTTCTGTTCTTCGATATTCTTACTGAGCATAAGAGCAATGACTCATGTAACCGGCGACACGACAACGCATGGTCAATTATAAATAGACTTTTTATCTGTCTACCTGTTTTGATTAGAAATCAGTCTTCACGTACTTCCAGAGCCTTCCGTCTCTTTTTTCTTAGATTGGTTTAGTTAGCTGGGACTTTGTTTCCAGTCCTAACTCAGATGGCAATATATGTCGATCTCCAAAATCGCTGGTTTCTGAGTCCTCACATTTTGCATTTTCGCAACTAAGTCGTTTAACTTGGTGTAAAAAAACGAGCTCTAGAATGCACGACAGCGAAAGCGAATGCTTGGAAAACTAACCAGAAGTGAGCACTGAGTTGTGTGTCTCTTGACAGATTTTTTGGAAACGGAAACAAACCTGTGCTCTGCAAAAATTCGGCCGAATGTTTGTTATGTAATTATAAGAGTCTTGCATATTTTTGAAGATTGCGTTAACAGCAGAATTTATTGGATCTATAAATTTAGAAAGTGCTCATCAGCTGCTTTCTCTCGTTGCATAACGTGAAAAACACAAGTAAAAATTTAAAAAATGAATTAGTACAGAAAAATCGATGCAAACAGCGAGGTCGTAGAAAATAGCCAAGAAGGCTTATCAATAACCTAAGCAGGTTAAATAACTGTGGGTAGCAAAAGTGGGGTAAAGCGTCTAAGGCAAAACAGTTGGGAAGGGAAATGCGAAATCAGGGAACAGATGTAACCACATGCTCCAGGCGTTTGCATAGGTCGGGTTTAAACCACCGTATATAAGCTGCCTCCAGGTAGCCTAAGGTACGACTTTTTCGTGCCCGAACAAGTACTCGGAAAGAAGTTTTGGTGCCGATCGAATGATCCGTATCTAGCACATTTTCTGTATAGATGAATGAGGAGTTCTATTTTCTTGTTTCAATAGCCAACTAGGCAAGTGTTCTTTGGCTCTGGCTGCCAACTGCCGTTTCGTTCGCTGTATTTACCTGCCTATTATATACGGCGGTTTAAACTCGACCTATATAGGCAGTTGGAGCATGTGGTGAACTTAACATTACCGTGTTAACATCCGGCTCCCTGATTACACATTTCTCTGTCCAATGTTTTGCCTTAAACTTTTTCCTCCCTTTTGCTGCCCACATTGTTTTAACCTGCCTTCGTTATTGATTAGCCTTTGTGGCTATTTTTACAACATTGGTTTTGGCATCAAGTTTCCTGTACGAATTAATTATTTTCTTATTTTATGTTATGTTATTCACGGTATACAACGCGGAGAAGCAGCTGATTAACACTGTCGAAATTTCTGCTGTTAACACAGTCATCAAAATTGCACCAAGGGAAAGATGCCTTAAAAGTCTTGTGCATTTTTCACGCACAGTTGACGCCTGAAACCAAGTTGGATAGTAAGGAGCTCAATGCATCAGAGGGTATGCAAATGAGTCTTTTCTGAAGAATTAAAAACACTCACGTCCCTCTCGATGGTTCGCGATCGGTTAAGTAGATCCTCGAGATGAGCCTCCTCCTGGGACATTCTTTCACAGTTCTCCTCCAACATCCTCTTAAATTCCGTCAAACGGGCCTCCGCGGTCTCCGGGGGCCCCGGTCGGGGTGCAGTCGTTTGCACTGGCGGCGGTGGCGACGGCGACGGCTCCATCAGCAGACTAAAGCGTTTGGTCGCATTGCACAGCCAGTCAGCTAGCTAGTTTAGGTCGTTTGTCGCGTAAGTAACCAGA